TACATTTTCGGGAACCAGCAGTTAGCGTAATGGCTATGTCGCTGGACTCCCACATAGTCGACCGCGGTTCGTGTCCCGGACCCGGTGGCTTAGAACTCACGCCGGGCGCGTGTGCGTGCGTGCCCAAGATCCCGAGAGGAGAATGGAGGAGAAGGGATTGCGGCGTGACCATCCCCTCTGGGGGATGATTTCTCGCTTTCTGTCTCTATGTCTCTCTCTCTCTGTCTGGCGAGCACACGCGCCCTACAGAAAAAAAAAAGGGGGAAAAAAAAAAGATAATACATTTTCAGTCACCTCTCAATGAACGTGATTCATCCATAATGACCTTGATTCTAGGACTTCATTCTTTTTTTTTACAGAGATGATGCTGTTCCTAGTTAGAAGGTAGAAATGAAATAAACAACGGCAAGAAGATGATCTTGATAGCAGTTGTTTAGGCCTGTGTTCTTACATAAAGAACATTTCAGTTACTTCTGCAAAACATAGGTTGACATTATCTAGTCCTTAATTAACTCAAGATCCTGCTCACTGTTTTCTGTGTATTTAATTAAGTACCTTTAGCCCTGAATTTGGTCAGAGTTGCTAATTTTTTTGATGATGTTACTTTTCTCCCATTCATTAACCAGCTTCAAATTTTAAACCTTTCTTCTAGAAATATATCCTACCCTAAAGAGTGTTTTGTTTTTCTCTTATTTTTTGTTAACAAAAGATCTGATTGTCTCTAATGGAAAAGTTGTAATCAGATACTCAGATGTCTAGGAAAAGTATACATTGGTCGTTGGTACTGTCATTTCTCTTTAATTAAGGCCTCTCTGCCAGCGTCCACTATTGGTTTTTGTTTGTTAGTTTATTAATACTTATGGCTAGTTTTGATCACTCTGTAACTAAGTGTATCTAGCTGTTCCATCTGCTGAAATTTCCCCCAAATACAGCAGTAAGGAGTTCCCCATAAGGGAATGCCTATGATGGGTCCAGCTGGAATTCAGAAGAAGGAAGCACTGATGCCAGTGTGATCAGTCCACAGCATTCACAGTAGTCTTTCTCTTGTCTCTGGCTTTGCTTCTCATGGTTTCAGTTTCTATTACAATAGATATTTTGAAAGAGAGTGACCACATTCACATAGCTTTTACAATAGAATATTTTTATAGTTATTCTGTTTTATTGTTATTGTTAATCCTTTATTGTGCCTAATTAATAAAAACACTTCATCAAAGGTATGTATGTATAGGAAAAACATAGTACATATAGGTTTGGCCCTATCTACAGTTTCAGGTATTCAGTGGGGGTCTTGGAACATATCTCCCTCAAATAAGAGATTACTGTTTCAGGACAACTTTCAGAGAGAGGAACTGCCAGGTGGCTTCTTGGCTGACAGTGAAAGGGATATTCTACTTAGATATAACTACAATGAGAGGGTCAGGTTATGGAATTTATATGAGGGTTTATGAATTTGTCCCAGGCTTGGGGCTAGTTTCTTTCAGTATTTTTTTTTAGAATTATTTATTTAACTTTATTTTTATTTTATTTAATTTGACCAGAGAGGGACAGAGAGAGAGAGAGAAAGAGGGTGAGAGAGAGAGAGAATGTGAGAAAGCAAGCCACCAGGTCCAGGACTCCAGCATCCTTAACCACCACGCCACCTGCCGGCCCCTCTTTCTGTATTTTAGGCAACAAGCTAAACACCTTTATCAGAGCCTAGGCATATACATGGCTCTGGCTTGGGTTCAAGCCTTCAGAGGAAAACATGCAGCTGGTTAAGTCACAGGGAAGTTAAGGCATGTTGTATTTCTTGGTCAAGAGAGGTAAAAAACAAACAAAGAAACAAACAAAAAAAAAAGGGGGGGAAACTGGGGAACTGTATACTTGCACACATCTGAAAAACAAAAATTCCACAGTCAAAAATGTGAAACTTTTGGTTGCCTAGTAATTGTGCTGGAAGGACTGAAATAATGCAGAATTATAAGTTCCACATGATCATATTAATGCAGTGAAATTTAGAGCAGATATTTGTAAAAATATTTCTTGTATTGCTCCTGCTAGAATGTTAAGATGTGTAAGGGCAGTGATTTTTTTTTTTTTTAAATTAACTGTTGTATCTATAACACCTAGCAAGTGCCTGGAACATATAATCGCTCAAAAAAAAAAAAAGAGTTTTAAATACCTGAGTGAATATTCAGCCTTAAGAAGCAAAAAGAAAGGGCCGGCAGATGGCATAACAGTTACATAGCTGGACTCCCACATGGCCGACGGTGGTTTAAGTCCCTGACCCAGTGGCTTGAAAATCATGCTGGTCACATGTGCATGCATCCTCAAGGTCCCTGGAAAAGAAGGGATTGCAGTGTGGCCATCAAAAAAAAATTTTTTTTTTTTTGAGAGGTTTTTGCTATGGGGCTGTGCGCTCACAAGAGAGACAGAGAGAAAGCAAGAAATCCCCCCCCCGGGGGGGGGGGATAACCACTCTGCAATCCCTTTTCCTCCATTCTCCTCTTAGTATCATGCACGTATACACGCGCACACCCTGCATGAATTTAAGCCACCAAGTCCAGGACTCAAACTGCAGTCAACTACGTGGGAGTCTAGCCATTGCACCAGCTGCTGGTCCCCAAAAAACCTTAAACATCATTAAAACTTTCCCATAAGAGACAATTAAATCTTTTGTTAACAAAAAATAAGAGAAAAACAAAACACTCTGTATGGTAGGATATATTTCTAGAAGAAAGTTTTAAAACTTGAAGTTCATTAATGGGAGAAAAATAACAAAGTGAAAGTGATTTCTCACTTTCCCTCTTATTGTCTCTGTCTCTTTCTCTCTCTCCACTTGTGAGCAGTCATGCCCTAAGACAAAAACCTTTTTAAAAAAGTAAAAGAAAAAGGAATACAGATAGAAAAACTAAGGTAGATCCAGGCTTTTCTTGTTCACATATGCATGTGAATATATGCTGATGCGCATGTTTCAAGCCTCTTCCTGGCTCACTCCCATCTTGGTTTGTGGGGTTGAACGTCTGGGGCCATGCCTGAAATAGTGTGGGTTATCTGTTTGTGAGTAATTGAATATTTACTCTTAAGTTAATAGGGAGAGAAATGGAAAATGGAAGAAATATACACTCCATTTGTACGGTTTCTTTTGGTCTCAGAATGTTTCACTTGTCGAGAGAGAAATGAAATAGTACATAGAAAATCTATTTAAATGATCTTGTATGGTGTTCATAAACTGTGAGTTAAACCTGGATTTTAACTAAATCTGTTTTTCTATACTAGGGCTAAGCCACGAGGTTCAGGAAGATTTTTCTGGTAAGCTACCAAAAAAAAAAAAAAAAAGCCATGTAAGTACACATACTTCCATATAATAATGTCATTGGGAAAGTCATGATATGTTTTTCTTTGCAAAAATGTGTCATGACTTTCCTGATGAGCCAATATATACATGCAAACAGAGAAATAAAGAAAATTAGCATTTCTCTTATTTTTCCATACATATGTTTTCATATTGTAAAACAAAGATGTGATGTTTATGTAAATAAATATATTAATTTTTAAATGTACTCCCCCCTCTGCTTTTAAGCTTTTTTTCATCCTTTTTCTTTACTTTTGTTTCTTTCATCTTTGTCTCCTTTCTTCTTCTGAAGAACAAACAAAACAAATGAAAAATACAAAATAAAAACCAAAAGCTCCTTTTTCCTTTCCATTCTTCCTTCCTTATCTCTTAGTTACTTTAGTCTGTAGAATGTATTAGGCCTAACAGATTTTATTTAGATGTATATATTTAAGTGTTTACTGTTGACAGAGCATAGTAAATTATGGATATTGTGACCTTCAAATGTGCAGTGTGAATTTTACACAGCTGTTTAACAACAGAAGACTCATCGTAAAAGTGACTTTTTTGTTTTCAAGCACTATCAGAGTACCTCACACTGATTCACTGTCTTCCCTTTTCTATGTACCATAGTAATCTATAAATACTATAATTAAGCTCTTCAAAGTCAAGGAGTATTTATGTGTGTGTGTGTGTGTGTGTGTGTGTGTGTGTGTGTGAAATTAGTGCTCACACAGAATTGGATTCTTTTGACTAATCTTCTAAAAGGAACTAAATTGTTACTGAGTTCTGTGTTTACAGTGAGAAGGAGTAGATACATTGTTTCTTAAAGAAAAAAAATATATTTGAGGTCTTTGAAGGTATGTTCAATTTATAAAATTTAAATTAGTATATGAAAATGTTATTATACCTATATATTATAAATTTTAATAATTCAAAACTAAATAATCTAAAAGATGTTTAATTATCAAAGACTCACTTATACTTTATTAAATCATTCTATATTTATTAAATACTCATTCTTTTGAGGCTATTCTTGTATTTAATAGGCTCAGTATTCAGTAATGAACTTAGAATTCCTTAGATCTCAAGTAAGAAATGTTAGTAAGGACTACATTAAATTTGCTTTTATGGGTTCATTCAATGGCTAATTTTTATATGTCAGTTTTATGTATATGTATATATAGTTAGGTCATTGGGAAAGTCATGACATGGTTTTTTTATGCAAAAATGCATCATGACTTTCCCGATGACACAATATGTGTGTGTGTGTGTGTGTGTGTGTGTGTGTGTGTGTATGTATATGTTTTAGCTGTGTATTGATTAGTTGATCAATTACCATGGCTATATTTGAGGTCCTATTAAAAACTAGTAGTATTCAGGGCTGTCTCCACCTACTGATCAAAGGAGCCGAATCCCACATGGCTTACTGCAGTCTGAATCCTGGCTCCAGGATCTTGAAAAACAAGCCAGGTGTGAGTATGTGTCCAAATGGAGAAATGGAAAAGGGACTGCAGCATGACTGCACCCAATTGGGGTTGCTCCCCGCAGCTGCACCCTCCTCCTTCTCTCTGTCTCTCTTTGCCTCTCTTTGGTAATTAAAAGAAAAAAAAAATGACCAGGATCTGGCAAGTGGTGTGGTGGTTAAGGGTGCTGGACTCCCACATGGCCGATGACAGTTTGAGTCCCAGACCTGGCAACTTGCTTTCTCACGTTCTCGTTCTCTCTCTCTCTCTCACTCTGTCCCTCTCTGATCAAATTTAAATAAATAAAGTGAAATAAAATTAAATTAAAAAATTCAAGCAAATAAGCATGGGATATAATGTGTGCAAAAAAAATTATCAAGTACATATTAGCTTGGCTCTTAATTGAAAATTAGAAATTCAGAAAATTTCTAAATTAGAATTCAGAAAATTCAGATTTTCTGAATCTAAAATAAATTAAATTGGATTTAACATCTTATAGGGCATAAACAATTTTGACGAATATGTAAACAAAATCTAGTTATTCCTCTGTTGTAAAGTATCACTCATATTAAATAAGGGCATTTGGGCTGTTTGAAGAAGATTTGTTTTAAAATAAAATCTTTTATTTAGTATCACTGACTACAAATGGAATTTATCTTCTTTTCAGTACGAGTTATTGAGAATGTAGGAAAAATAGAGATTGTCCTAAAGAAAAAAGAAGATATTTCTTGGAAATTTCTTGGTCATCTCCTGGAGAATCATAATTCATTTATTCCAAAGAAAGACAGAGGTATGCTGTGCGGTTATTTTATTACATTCATTTCATGTTCATGGAATTGTTGTGTTGAGACAGTCGTACAGTTTGGAAGGCTGCTTTGGGATGACCAAAAGGGTCCTATATTTTCTTCTAGGAAGATTGAAGGGTATAAACTTGTATTGTGTTTTTTATGAATGTAACATTTAGATTCTACAATATAATGTTTAGACATAACAAAGTCCTTAGTTATGATATGTTAAATGGAGAGGCCCACTTGTGATTAAATTGTTGTATAATCATGTACTCCTTGGTACCTTTTTATTACAAATGCAAAAATAAATTTATGTCTTATTTGTACATCAGATTTTTTTTAATTAAAGAGGACATGTTTAATGTTTTTCTGCTTAAGTAAAATGGTTTCCCAGTTTATTCCTGAAGAGTAGTAGCATTCATTTCCTTCCTTCTTAAAGCTTTTCATCTAAATTAACAATTATACAGAAAGTGTGCATATTGTAAGTGCTCTACTTGACGAAGTTTCACAAGGTGAACACACCCTGTGTTTTCTCTTTGGAAATTGGCAGGATGTGCCTTTTGTTGCACATGTTTTGGAATTCCATAGCGATAGTTGTAATGTGGATCTGTTTCATTCTTCATGCTAGATGTTCACCCTTTTTGCTAATTTTTTCAGAATGGGAATAAGACTGACTCTCACTTAAGTTATTGTAAGCCCTGGATTGTAAGCTGTGCTTCTAATAAACCTCATGACCCTGGCTATGGCTGGAAAATTTAATAGGTTGGCTCACAAAACTCAGGAAAAACACTTACATTTTCCTATTTAATATGAAGGATACAGATGAATAGCCAGATGGAAGAGAGCATGCATAGAGCAAGTGTTGGGGGAAGGAGCACAGAGCTCCCATGCCCTCTATGGGTGCACCTCCCTCCAGGGCGCACCACCTCCCCTTGTTCAGCAGTCTGGAAGCTGTCCAGATCCTGTCTTTGAGAGTTTTTATGGAGGTATCAGTATGTAGGTATGATTAATTGCATGATTGACTATTAGTAATCAAGTCAGCCTTCAGCCCCCTCTCCCTACCCTGAAATCAGTGGGAGTGGGTGAGGGGGCTGAAAGATCCACTTTTCTAATCACATGGTTAGTTTCCCTGGCACCAGCCCCTATCCAGAGGCCACCCAGGGACCTACCAAGAGTCACCTTATTAGAGCAAAAAATATTCCTGTCTCTCAGGAAATTCCAAGGGATTTAGGAGTTTTATGTCAAACATTCCTATTACTCAGAAAGTTACAAAGTTTTAGGAGCTCTGAACCAGCGTCAAAGATTAAATATTAGAACAAAAATTCTCTTACCCTTATATACGTACGTGGGTTGTAGGAACTCTGGCAGAAATTGAGGCAGAGACCAGTATATATTTATTATTTCACAATTATATAAATATGTAGATAATTTTCAGAAAAGTAAGAGAGAGACATACATTGAGTATAAATTGTGGAAGACTATTTTAGTCATTGTGATGTAGAACAGAGAAAGGACATGAGAAATGTTCTCAGATGCAAAAAGAACATACACCAGTGAAGGGTTAGAGAGAACTTAAATAGAGAAATAGACCAACAAGGACAGTTTCGTAGTACAGACTGAACATGTTTGGAGGTAATCCCAGATGAATAGACATGGTAGATTTGATCTTGAATAGCTAACTGAAGGCAGTCAGTTTTAAGTGTATTGAAAGTGGAGTCCATGGCTTTTGGGGGAAAAAGCAAAACAAAAAAAATCTGAAGGACTTTCCAGATGCAGCTACTTATTGTTGCTGGGAACATATTGTGCTAGGTATTTTGCAGGTTGTACAAAGAGCAAAATGTAAGCTTTGTGTAGGAAAGTTCAACCAGATTAATTTTATCAGAACAGGTCTGAGTTCTGTGGTATTAGGTAAGGAGAGAGGACATGCAGGAATCACAGTGTGACCTTGCAGATCAGAAGATTGTAGGAAAGGGACAGTGAAAATTAAAAGATATTATTACAGTGAAATTTATTGTCCTGATATTATCTAACTTACCTATTGATTGAAAAATCATAGCAAGTCAGATAAAAGTCAACTCCAAGAAATAAATGATACTGAGAACTAAAACTGACCTTCTTTTGGAAACAGGATGATCACCGCTCAAGTCTTCTCTGTAATTTACTGAGGCCTTCCATGAACTCTTCTTCCTACTGTAAAGTCTTCCTCGAGTTCTAAACTACCATAAAACAGAGAGTTTTAATTTTTTAAAAAGGAAAATTTAACTTGTGCAAAATTATAGCCCTGGATATGTTTCTTAGTAAAATAGGTTTTCTGCTTTGAAGAATAACTTGGGGTTTAGGAAATAGGTCATCTATCTCCTTTCCCTACCTTAAATCATGACAAAATTGTAGGGTTTATATTCACTGGCAGAGATGTATTATTAAATATCTATTGCTAAATATGTAGCTCTATGTGCTTTACTGAAGTTACTGATTTTTTAAAAAATTATTTACTTCCATGAATGAGAGACAGACAGCACTTCTGACAGGGTCCTGATACCGTGATCCCTAGCCACCTCTGGATCATGGGAACTTGTGTGCCCAAGAGTACTCAGGGAGGTCTCCGGATGGAACCCAGAAGCTTCCTATGTGGATCAGCCTTGTAGAGCACATTTGACCACCGCACAACTGCCTGGCTCCTCATATGACTGACTTTTATATTAGGATGCCTTACTAAAGAGCCATACTGCCTCACTAAAGATCCATAGCTAGAAGAATTTATTTTGAATAAGCATGTCAGTTGAAAACTTAATACAGTATCATTTCATGTCATATCTAGAATTTACAAACATGAAAGTTTCAAATATAGCAAAGAGCATCAATTAGAGAAGAGAAACTACTACTTCATTTAATTCTAGTGTAAGAGATGATTAAATTACTTAAATGGAACCAGACTACCAGTTATAACTGTGATGCTTCCAGTCATTTTGTTTCCCCCGAAGATAAAGATTAAGAGTGACTGTGTGTATGCATGTGCTCATGAGAGAGAGAACTGAAGAATTTGTGTATGTAAGAGAGAGAGAGGGGGGGGGGAACTGAAGAATTTGTCTGTTAAGGGTCAGAAACCAATAGATAATTAGGTTGCTACTTCTATACCCAACCTAACATTTCATTCATTCATTCATTCATTCATTTATGTTTTAGGTTTTTGCCATGTGATGCCTGTCCTTGCCAGAGAGAGATAGTGAGAGGAAAAGTGAGAAATCATCCCCAGGGGGGGTGACCATGCTGCAGCTTCTTCTCCTGGGATTTTGAGCAGGTCACACTCATACACCTGGCTTGATTTTCAAGCCACCAGGTCCAGGACTCAAACTGTAGTTAGCCATGTGAGAGTCCAGCACCTTAACCACCATACTACCTGCTAGCTCCACCTAACATTTTATCTTAATTACAGTTGCCATTAATATAGAGATTCTGATCACCAGAAAAAAGATAAAGATTTTCCAAGAAACAACCCAGTAAACTAGCCTCGGAAAACAAGATTTTAAAAAAATCATCTGTAGTGCAGGTCTTCTGGTAACTTCACTGCTATAGAGACAGAAAGCGAGAAATCACCCCCCAGGGGGGATGGTCACACCGCAATCCCTTCTCCTCCATTCTCTTCTCGGGATCTTGGGCACGCATGCACAAGTGCCTGGAGTGAGTTCTAAACCACTGGGTCCGGGACGCGAACCGTGGTCGACTACGTGGGAGTCCAGTGACATAGCCATTATGCTAACTGCTGGTTCCCTCTGCGTCTTTTGATACAAAAATGCATCATGACTTTTCTGACAAGCCAATGTATTTAGACACATGTGCACACACACACTCAAGATGCTTTGGTGTCTTGCTATCTTATTTTAGTTTCTATCAGAATAATCTGAATATGAAATTTGAAGAAACACAAAGTACATGGAACAGTGTATAATTGATTAAGATATTGTTTACTCTATTAGAAGATAAAATAGAATGGGTCTAGCCATATAGCACAGGGTTTTAATACTTCACATAGAAAGCTAGATCCCACATGGCCAACTGAGGTTCAAGTCCTGGCCCCAGCAGTTTGAAAAACACGTCAGACTCATGTGCATACCTGCCCCAAATCTTGATGGGATGGAGAAATGGAGGAAAAAGGGCTATGGTGATCATACCCACTTACGAGGTGCTTTGTTTCTCTCTTTCTAGTGAGCATACATACAAAAGAAGATAGGAAACTTTTTAAAATTTAAGATCCAAGTGTTTCAAGCACTTCGATATACAGTGTTGACTGAATTATTAATTATAGAGCATGAAAGGACAAGTGATAGGCATAGAACTATTCAAATTTAGTGACAAGCTTGCCAATGATTTTGTTTAATGGCCCCATTGGATCTAGTCTTGGAGAAAGAGCTGTTATTTTCCTAGTTTTAGTCTAATGTTTAACTCTATAAAATTCTTACTTTGAAAGAAAGATTTGGTTTATATCTATCAACTTGAGGTAGTAAAACGTTTACTACAGTTTAGGAATTTTTAAAATAATAATAGTTAATACAAGTTTTAATTAAAAAATTATCTCAATTTTTATTTAATCATCTATTTTAGTCTGTTACATGTTGGTAACAAATACCTAAACCAGGGTGTTTTTATGAATAATATGGAAATTTATTTACAAATTTGTGATTCTGGTGATTGGGAAGTCTAAAGTCCTAGGCCTGTAGCATGGCTGACAGAAGCATGGAGGAGGGCAGGCACAGAGAGAGAGAGAGAGAGAGAGAGAGAGATCCTAAGTGATCTGTTTTATAACAGCCAGGTCTTATAAGAACTAATCCCTTTCCACAAGTCTGGAACCTACTTGGCCTTGGGAGACATCATGAATGTGTTCGTGAGACTGTTGTTTCCATGATGCACAGTCACCATGACCCAATCACTGCCCACTAGGCCTTACCCTGGGACATGAATATAATACTTTTACAGTACAGTTGAAATGATCAAGTTGTAACACGTGAATTTCTGCAGGACATATTAAAACCATAGTCATTTTATATTTTATTTCAATTTTTTGTATAATCATCTGTATTTTCAAAGCCAAATACCTAACACTTAAATAATGGCATTGTCTAGATTGCAGTCGTCAGCACATCTGCTCTATGCTTCTTTTCCCTCATGTGTTGCATTTCCTGTCTATACTTTTTCCTCAGTGCATTTGAAAGGTTAAAAACTTCCGGGAACCAGCAGTTAACGTAATGGCTATGTTGCTGGACTCCCACGTAGTCGACCGCGGTTCGCGTCCCTGACCTGGTGGCTTAAAACTCACGCCGGGCACGTGTGCGTGCGTGCCCAAGATCCCAAGAGGAGAATGGAGGAGAAGGGATTGCGGCGTGACCATCGCCCCTGGGGGGTGATTTCTCGCTTTCTGTCTCTATGTCTCTGTCTGTCTGGCGAGCGCACGCACCCTATAGCGAAAATCTCTCCAAAAAAAAAAAAAAAGTTAAAAAAAAAAAACTTCCTTAAATTTTTCTCAAAACTTTTAGAACGTATGATTAGGATACTCATGAAATTATCTCAGTGTTTTAAAGGTAAAGCATTGGAATTATCTAAGTTTGAAATTATCTCATTTGTGTTCAGCAGCAAGAATGTTTGTCACTCTGTAACAAAGAAAGTCAGCAAATCACTGAAGCTCAGGATTCTTGTTTTTTCAGTATAGTTGGAGAGGTGTGTACTTACTGTAGCAAATCCTTTCTGACAAACGTTAGAGTAGAAATGATCAACTTAGAAAATGAACATTTTTCAGTTAGCAGTGAAGTTACCAGGAAGACCTGCACTACAGATAATTAGAGGAAGCACTAGGGCCTTACCCTGGACAATAAGTTCCACACTTAGAGAGCCCCACATGACTGTTCTCTAGCCACCGCTGTCTCACAGGTTAAGGAGAGTGCAAGGCTTCCTAGAGTTCACCCTATTTCCTTTCATTACCACACTTCAGGTTCATAACACCCTAAAATTCTCTGCCCACATGGCCTCAAATTCACTTGTACCCAAGGACTGGCCAGAGCTATTGATGGGGAGAAGTGGTGGGTGAGTTTGAATATACAGGCTAACATGCCTTCAGTCCTGTAAGTCCCACTTAGTGTCAGACAGAGCCAAGGGCGGGAAGTGAAGAGGACGCAGTGGGGATGCAGTTGTTGTCCTGCCATGTCACCTTGGCTACTCTGGAGAGTTTAAGAATCCCGAATTTGAATTTAGCCTTCTAAGATATTGTTACCCTATATTTTCCAGGACAGAGTTTATGAAATATCTTACTTGACAGTTCTTTTTCTAATTTATACCTTTTAAGTACTTAGACATAGAGTATGTATGTAGGTCTCTGCACTCTCACCTTGGCTCCCAGAAGGTTTCTGAGTAAGAAAGCATAAGGAGGTCATTTGAAGTTTCACTTCTCCTTGTGTGTGAACCTATGTCCCTTGGCCCTTTAATTATCCAGTACTGGTTAAGCTTTTCAAAATAGCTTCAGAGTGGTGCTCTAAGAAATAATCTGGTCAAAGCCTGTGCCCTGGCACTAGAGTGAGGTGACCTGAAGTGATGTCCCCTGGTGTTTGTTACAACAGTGCACTCTAGACTTGCTGAGCTGCCATGGTAGCAAGTGAAGAGATCGGGTGATAGGATCTTTGGGGTGCAGAAGGGAGAAGGGAAGTTGGATTCAGCTATATCCAAAATGAATTTTAGGATTATATGTGAATTTCAGTTTTCTGGTAGTCACTAATTGTTCACTGTTGGGGCTTTACTTCCTAAGATCTGGAGTAAATCTGTACCTACTTAAATACTTTTAGGTTTAAAAAAAAAAGAGAATAGGATAAGAAAAGTTTTTTCACAATTGATTCCTTTACAAAATTTCTGTAAATATTATTTTTTAAAGATTCTTTTTTTCCCTAATTACTTTATTTAACTTTATTTATTTATTTAAATTTGACCAGAGAGGGACAGTGAGAAAGAGAGAGAGCAAGGGACAGTGAGACAGCCACCAGGTCCGGGACTCGAACAGTGGCCGGCCATATGGGAGTCCAGTGCCCTTAACCACCGCATCACCTGCCAGCCCCTGTAAATACTTTTATGAGAGAGAAAGTAATGAAACATATTTTCAGTTTACTCTAGAATACTGTTTATAACCAAAATAAAATTTACAAGTGCAAATGATAATGTATTAGTTATTAATTTATGTATAAATAACAGAAAATGAATCACTTTCTAGGTTTGTACTACAGAAAGTGCCAGTTAATTTCCAAGGAAGAAGTTACTCATGATACGAAGCTTTTCTGTTTGATGATGCCACCAAGCACTCATCTTCAGGTGCCAATTGGGCAACATGTTTACCTCAAGCTAACTATTTCAGGTAAGGTGAAAAGCAGCTTTGGAAAAGCATTTTCTTATTTTCTAAGCAGCTCAGAATCAGTACTAATCTCTTCAGGAAGCATCCATTTAAGTTATTTATAAATGTTTCTGATTTATGATATCTAGCATCTACATTTGTGAATATAGTGTTCCGTACATGTTAGAGCTAAGGCTGGGCCACATTATCCTACAGAACAAAGAATTTACCACTACTTAGAGAGTTGGTTCCACCAACATTGTCATTTATTGCCAACAAAATCCAAAGCAAAGAGACGAGGGAGTATACAAATGGTCCTCCATGAAGACAACCACTAGAAATTTGTGCTAGCATATATTAATAGCCACTTATGTCTATAACACTTAATGAAGTTAAAATTATAAAATTCAAAGTGAGTGTATGATTATAAATAATTTTCTTATATGTGTTACCAGTATAAGAAGCTCTAAAAATGTATTCCTTCTCTGTGAATTATTTTCCTCTCTTTTTCATCCTCTAATTACCTCACTTCTTTTAAATACACTTGTTATTGATGTTTAACCTTTTTCTGATCATTTAAATCTGTAAAAGATAAAATTCTCATGTTAGTTATAGTACTTCCAATAATCACCCTAACAGACTGTTTGCTAGGATTTGGTAGATTTGGTGTATTATGATGGCACTTACTAAGTTGTTCTCTTCATCATCACTATGCTGGGTTGCTATTCAGTAACTGGTATGTTCCCCAGTGTAGTTATTGCCAATGTATTTTAATTTGCATATGGGTTAACATGTCAGTTTTTTTAGTTGTGATTAATTCTTTTTGTTTTTGTTTTTAGGTACAGAAATAGTAAAGCCATATACACCTGTATCTGATTCCTTACTCTCAGAATTTAAGGAACCAGTTCTTCCCAACAATAAATACATCTACTTTTTAATCAAAATCTATCCTGCTGGACTCTTCACACCAGGGCTTGATCATCTTCAGATTGGTTAGTAATTTTACATTAAAAAAAAAAAGTTCTGGATTGGTTGAAACTGCTCTCTAGTTATCAATAATGAATTGTCAGGAAAGTCATGATACATTTTTGCATAGAAAAATAAAAAGAAAAATACTTCATGACATTCCCGACAACCTAGTATCTTCATAAGGGAGTCTATCAAATATCGTAAATTTAGTATGTCTCTACAGCCAAAGTTATCTTCCCTTTACCCAATCCACCTTATTCATACTCCATATTCCCTTTCTATTCTTTGCGGCATCACTGTTGATCCTTGACCCAATCTGGAGTCTTGAGTCATTCTTGAGGCCTCCTACTTTTTCTCTTCTAATTCAGTTAGCCATTGAGTTCTATTGTGTCTACCTCCCAGCGACTTTTTAATCTTTTCTCCCTAGTTTATGCTACCCGCTTATGGCAAGCCTTCATCATTTTCTCTTGGCCTCTTATTGGTCTCTCATAGTTAACTGTAATTGATGTCTTTTAATTTGTGTTTATCTGCATTTTACAGTTATTTCTGCAGAGTTTCCTGAGAATAGATTTACTCGTGTTGCTCCACAGCTTTGAAACCTCTGATGGGTCCCTGTTTTTGCTATTCTGATTAAGGCTGCTGTACTGCCTATAGAATGTTGATCTCTCTATCTCTATCTCTTGTTGTACAATACTATTTGTGTTACTCTCAGTTTCACCAATTTGTCATCCTCATTCTTAGGTACATACAATTGCCTAACCTAGGACGTCAGCAACCCCTCCACTATCTGTCGAGTGTCTTTATTTAAAAACTCAAGCAGAATATCACTTCCTTTATGAACCTTTCCTCTTCCTCTGAAGCCTCCAGCCTTCATATCTCTATTACAAAAAAAAAAAAATATATATATATATATATACATATATATATATATATTTCTGTTATATAAGACTTTGAGTCTTATATTGTTTTACCTATCTTTGTGTTTCTAGCACCCAGCATGGCAGTTGGCACATTACGGGCTATCATTAAACGCACTTTCAAAGAATGAAGAACTATAATGAAACCTATCTTCTATCTTTTTTCCTGTGTCTTCTACTTCCTTTTCTGTGTTTCCTTTTTACCAAAAGTCGACAGTGTTCTCCTTTCAAAGGTAGCATTATCAATACATTGCAGTGGTGAAATTTTGAGAATTAAGCAAATTATGTCACTTTCTGAAAGTGAAGCTTAGAAATCTACATGTAGATGTGATTAGTCATCCTTGATTACATAAACCACAATATTATATATAAATGTGAACCTGAAGTGTTTTGGAATACCCAAAATCTAGTGAATATGACTATCGCATTATAAAGGAAGGACTGACACATGCTTATATTATAGTAAGTGGAAACTTAACCAGTGGTGTAGGTTGAGTATTCCTTATTCAAAATGCTTGGGACTAGAAGTATTCTGATAGTAGGAATAAGATATCCTGGATGGGACCTGTAATGTTTATTCAGGTCACTAGATACATACAGCCTTGGCTGTAAATTAGCTGCCATTCTGTCATGTGTAATTTAGTTAACATCAGTTATGTGCCTAAGTCTAATCTATTTTGTGGCATTGGAAGGACTAGACTATGAATAAAACTTGCCAAGTTAATATCATCCTGTGAAGCTTCTTTAGGTAGACAGCCATCTGGCTTTTTCTTAAGGGCATTCTGATCTTATGGTCCCTTTCAGACTATTACAAGGAGTTTTTATTATATTGAAATACATAATCCATCAATTACCACATGGTTTTAGCTATCCTGCAATGGAAAACAAGGGGAAAATTCATTTTAAAAAGTAATTGAAAATTGGGGCTGGCAGATGGCATGGTGGTTAAAGGTGCCAAACTCCCACATGGCAGACTGTGGTTTGAGTCCCGGACCTGGTGGCTTGTTTCTCACTTTCTCTCTTTCTCTGTCTCTCTCTGATCAAACCAGAAAATAATAATAAGTAAAGTTAAATAAAAAATAATTCTTTCAAAAAAAGTAATTGGAAATTACCAAATCTGGTTCTAAAGGCAGTTTTCCTATATGATACATAATAGTTACACAAACTGTACTGTAGAAAATGGGCACTGATTTCTCAACCATGTTGATTCTAGATTGGGAAGTAGCATGTTCCAAGAATAGTGACTGCTTTTCTTATCTTGCTTTGTTTTTGTAGGAGTTAAACTCCTTCTTGTTTTAATCAATAAGTTTTTTCAAAAATTTGATGCAGGATAGCTTAGCACATGTAATAACATAAGATTTTAGAATACACTTCTATTTCTACATTTTATCTCCTACTAATCCTATTATTACAATTAATAATCAACATGTGTAGTGAGTTTCTGTTCTCCACCCTGTACCATGTAAGACAGATGTGCATCAGCTCTGTTTTTGACGTGCTTATAGTTTTGCTTAGCAGTAGATCCTTATTGATAATTTGTGATTTGGTACTTAACGGTAGTTTATAACTTTCTGACTTCAGATGGTTTTAGAAAATAATGGTGGGAAATTATCTAATGAAGCCTCATTATTAATTAGATTATAAGGATATAATCCAGACATAGTTGAGGCCTAACAATTTCTCCTAAACTCCTTAGATACTGAAAGACTGATCTGTAGTCTACAAGTTAAATATTCACCCTTTCACTCATCAGTGTTCTAAATTCAGCTACTTTTAGCCTTCTCAGTTTTCCCACTGTGGTTTTTGATTTGTTTTTCTGACTTAATTTATATCTTATTGTTTAGGAGATTTTGTTTCTGTAAGCAGTCCTGAGGGCAACTTTGAAATATCCAAGTTTCAAGAATTAGAAGATCTCTTTTTGTTGGCAGCTGGAACAGGCTTCACACCAATGGTTAAAATATTGAATTATGCTTTGCCTAATATACCCAGTCTCAGGTATGTAATTTTATCTCTAATTACTATCCTTTGTGAGGCTATTACAGTATAAGGGATTCTAAACTGATTACCTACTGGATCTTTAATAGACATGTTCTCATTCCCTCATTCATCATGCCTTACTCTGACTCCTGTAGTCCTAGCTATTTTATGAACTTGGTTCTTTTATCTCATTTCAGTTTTTAATACATTTACTTACCTAATTGGCACTAAAAAGTATTAATCTTAGTTTACTTTAGACTTTCCTTTTGTGTGTATTTGAAATGTAATTAATTAGTTATTTCTGAGTTTTTTGTTTTTGTTTTTGTTTTTGTTTTTTTGGTTTGTTTTTGAAGGAAAGTGAAGCTGATGTTCTTCAATAAAACAGAGGAGGATATAATTTGGAGAAGCCAATTGGAGAAATTAGCATTTAAAGATAAAAGGTATTAAACTCTATTAGCTCTGCATATAAATATCATACCTGTGTAGTAAGTCTAGATCTTCTCTCCTTTGGTGGAAGCTTTGAATTGACTGGGAATCTCCTTCGAAGAAAAAAAACAAATTAATAATTCTCTAAATGTAAATAATGTTAATATCCTCTTCCCCAAGGGATACTGTCTGATAAGATCTGAATAAGCTTATCTGTGTATCAATAAAATGTATATTGGGCTTTATGATCCTACTAGGTAATTTTTACTACATTGAGTTTCATTGAAAATGTTCCAGTGTAGCCATTTTCATAATTCAAGATTTTCTTGTCATACTGGAGGCAGAAAAAATAAATTTGGTGAAGATAAATTAAACAAAATTAAACATGTTATAGGATTTCTAATGGCTTTTAATATGCTAATATCCAATTCGGACTTTCTAAATGAGATTTCTTATGCATTGCCTAACAAGAGTCTCTTCATTTTTGTTTGTTTGCTTTAACACTTATTTTTAGCCTTTTCACTAGTGGTTCTCAGTACACCCTTTAGGAAATGTTGATACAGGAAATTGAAAAAAGTTCTACTAAAGGTGAATTCAGCACTAGCATGATATATAAAGGATAGTGAAGTGAAAATTTATTTTTAATAAAGAACTCAGCACAGTCAGCTGAAATAAGATAATTATTTAAATGAGCATATGCACTATTTTCCTTAAAAGGATTTGAAAGCCTTAGGAAATTCAGAATGCATTTTTTACAGGAAGAGTGAATTGGACAAGCTATCATACTTTCTAAAGCATTTTAATTTTATTGATCATTCAAAGCTATCTCAAAGAATTTTAAGATTTTCATAAGTTGCATAAAATATCTGAAGTAAATATTTATACTTATGGTAATATATATAGTATAGGTAAAATTATAAGTGTTTTAAAAAATTAAAACCCTGAGAAACTCAGTTATCTGTCTAGGGCTCAAGGTTCTTCTGAATATTTTCTGAATATCCATAATAATGTAGTAATATGACCTTTCCTAGTTTTTTTTCTCCTGATTGTTTTTCATCTTCCTCCTCCTTCTCTTTTAATAAATGACTTACATAATTTAAGAATAATCTGAATTTACTTATCTTTGAATTATTTACCATTCTTTACATACTTAAAAGACAAATGTGAGACTACTGACTATAGTTGTATATCAAACTAAAGAATTTTAAAGAATGATAAACTCTTAAGTCTTCAAATGTCTTTCATATTAATTTCCAAGTAGAAAATTGGAAGCATTCATCAGGAGGCCTAAAGACCCAAATGCTAGTTCCCATTCTATACCTCATTCATTACCTTGACAGTTTACTAAAAAAATTACTTAGCTTTGTGGGCCTATTTCTTGATCTTCTGAATAAAATCATGATATCTTTCTACCTACTTCATAAAACCATTGTGAAATTTGGAGATGATAATACAAATGCTTTGGAAACTGAAGCTCTCTCTCAGGTATTTGAATTGCTGTTATAGAGGACATCTGTATTCATGTGTTTGGTTTCTCTTTTAACTGTTAGAGCTCCCATTTTTCTAACCAAAGAGTTAATAGAATTTAAACATAGGCTTTTTTTTTTAAGCTAGATTTTTAAAATATACATTTCTGACAATTTTTTTCCCACAAAGATGGTAAGATATTTCCCTTATCAAAGAAATTTTATAAAATTTTAGAAAAAAAAAAAACTTACCATTATTTTAATTATACTTTTAATCTATTGATAGTAGTTAAATCTGACTTATAAATTAATTGGGAAAAAAGAATGTATTGACAGCCTCTGAACATAAAGTGTCTTAACAAAGTCAACTGTGTTTTTTGTTTTGTTTTGTTTTGGTCTCCGTAATTTGGGTTGGTGGAATTGCATAGGCTGGAGTATTGAGGATGAGGAAAGGCTCCTTTTTTTTCACTTCTGGATGCCTGGCTCTAACAACACTCACCAGGTGAGTGATCTCTCCAGCTCACTGAGAGAAGCGATAGTGTGCCGACTTCTGGCTGCCTTTATCCCCCCTCTTCTGCCCCTTCTCTTTCTCTTTTTATTCACTCTTGTTCTGTCATATGTGCTCTCTCCCCCTTCTCCCTAACCTCCTCTTTCTTCTTTCTGGAGACTTGCTCTCCCTGCTTGAGGCACCTATGAGTGCTGACTTTTCTAGTGTTGTATGATTTATAATCCCTATAGACTCTTGACCTTTTTTGAGTGAGATTAGGTGAGGCCCTCACTGAAAGGCTAGAAATTAATGTTTATGTAGATAGTTTTGGAACATTCATCAGGAATTTTACCATAGTATGAGCTTTTCTGTAGAAATAGGAGAGAACCCAGGACCAGCAGATGGCATAGCGGTTATGTCACTGAACTCCCATGTAGTCGACCACAGTTCAAGTCCAGACCCAGTGGCTTAAAACTCATGCCGGGTGTGTATGTGTGTGTGCCCAAAATCTTGAGAGGAAAATGGAGGAGAAGGAATTGCAGTGTGGCCATCCTCCCTGGGAGGTGAATTCTCACTTTCTGTCTCTCTTTGTGTCTCTGGTGAGTGTACATGCCCTATAGCAAAAAAAAGAAAAAAAAAAATCTGTCTCAAAAAAGAGAAAGAGAGAGAGAGAAAGAAATAGGAGAACCCTAGCTTTTTTTCTTTTTCTTTTTTTTTTTTTTTTGAAGAGGTTTTTGCTGTAGGGTGCATGCGCTTGCCAGAAAGAGAGAGAGAGAGACAGAGAGATAGAAAGCAAGAAATCACCCCCAAGAGGGGATGGCCAACTCTGCAATCCCTTCTCCTCCATTCTCCTCTTGGGATCTTGGTCACACACGCACATGCACCCAGCATGAGTTAAACCACCAGGTCCAGGACTCGAACCATGATCAACTACATGGGAGTTCAGCGACATAGCCATTACACTAACTGCTGGTCCCCACAACTCTTTTTTTTGAGAACCCTAGCCTTTAAGATGTATTGAAGAGTTTAGTTAGTACCACTAAGCCAGAACATAATTGTTGTGGAGTATCTAAACAGAAGGAAAGTGGAGTTTAGATTTAATATAAGGTAATTGTAATTAGTCACATCTATACTCATATTTTAGTTGGCATTTAAAGGCTATTAATTTTTAATATAATAAATCGCCCTCTTATATATCTTGACTCCCCTATGTCACTTCTAATTTTAGTAATCAAGCTTCTGGTGTCAAAATATGTTACCTGAAAACATTCCCATGGTGGAATTATTATTGGATTATGAACCCTCAAAAATTTTTCTGAAACTTTATAGTTTAAGCAAGTGAAATGCCCTATCCTGTAGAATTAGGTTTTAACCTTTTACTAAATCCTTTCTGGAACAAGTAGAAGGGATGGATACTCAGGCTGATATATGATCTGATATTTTCATTTCCAGCTAGCATGCTATGCTTGTCCTCAGTGTTTATCCAGATAATACCATTAGCGAATGAAATTCTTCAAAATAGCATTGTGTAATGGAAACTTCTTAACCTTGTGACCTTGGGCAAATTACTTGATTGGACTGATCATCAGTTTTTCCATCTGTAGAACACAGACATAGAATTACATCATAGAATTATTTAGATTTAGGGGTCAGTGAACAGGCATATGCAAGTGCCAAGAGTTTTGTTTGTTTGTCTTGTTTTGGTTTTTTTTTGTTGTTTTTGTTTGTTTGTTTGTTTTTGCCTTAGGTGCATGTCCTCACCCAGGGGAAATAGAGAGAGAGAGACAGTGAGAGGAAAAGTGAGAAATCACCCCCCTCAGAAGGAATGGCCATGCTGCAATCCCTTCTCCTCCATGCTCCTCCTGGGATCATGGCACTCACACACATGCTCCCAGTGTGATTTTCAAGTGACCAGGTCTGGGATTAGAACTGTGGTTAGCCGTGTGAGAGTTTGGCAATGTAACTGCTACGCCATAGGCTGGTCCCTCCAAGCAAAATCTTACATATTTATTTTTCTTGAAAAAATAGAAAGTAAATATACGTGGTAGCAAATCTAGCTAATTACTATGTAAAACTGAAATCCAAATTAAATTTTATATATCCTTCTCTCAGATACATAGGCAATGTTATGAAGCTCTCTTGACAGCCTTACACTTTAGCCCACTCCCTGCTATCAGTAGAATGTACTGGCTCTGAGTTCTCTGCTTTTGCAAAACTAGTTTGGAGGGTTAGGATAGTTTGACAATGAGGTAGCTTATGGACAACATTTATAGTATATAAATATAACAAGTATTGGGACCAACAGATAGTGGTTAAGGCACAGGACTCCCAGCATGGCTGACCACAGTTTGAGTCCCAGGCCGGGTGACTTGTTTTCTCACTCTGTGTGTGTGTGTGTGTGTGTGTGTCTGTGTGTGTGTGTGTGTGTATCTGGTCAGATTGAACAATAATAATTAATTAAATTTTTAAAAAGCAATCCATACTTGACTTAAACTTGCCTTTAAAATACACACACACACACACACACACACACACGTGTTTTCCTTTCTTTCAAAGTAGTCATTTTTCTGAGGCAATAACTTTATTTTATTTTAGTAGAGCTTGTGGTACTTTCTTTTTGTAAACAGTATTTACTGATTTGCTGATCTTCCCATCTGTTTATAACATTAATACTATTTGTATAGAAAAGTACAGAAAAAGTATTAGAAAGAAAAATCACCCATAATGCCACCACCTAAAGAACAGTGATTAACTTTTTTTTTTGGGGGGGGGAGATTTTCACTGTAGGGCGCGTGCGCTCGCCAGACAGACAGAGACATAGAGACAGAAAGCGAGAAATCACCCCCCAGGGGGGATGGTCACGCCGCAATCCCTTCTCCATTCTCCTCTCGGGATCTTGGGCACGCACGCACACGCGCCCAGCGTGAGTTTTAAGCCACCAGGTCCAGGACGCAAACTGCGGTCGACTGCGTGGGAGTCCAGCGGCATAGCCATTACGCTAACTGCTGGTTCCCAAGAACAGTGATTAACTTTATGATCTGTACTTTTCCATTCACACACA